GACCAGAGCTCCCAAGGTCTCTCCCATAGAGGTGAAGCTACAGGAAACCCTTCAGAGACCCAAAAAGAAAACCCCTGCAAGCAATTAAGTTTTCAAGCATTTTAATGTGATCATTGCAATTTGACCATAGTTTCAGAAAGAGAGGGAAAAAAAAAAAGTCACACAAATGATCTGTGCTCAGGGATTGAGTCAATCTACACAGTTCTCGTTGACTGATGAGTATTCAAGTTAAGACCTTCTGGCCATCAGTGATGCTCTCGTCTGAAAGGCAGGACTGCGAGTGGTGTCTATATTGGTGCAAAACGGGGATGTTTCGTCAGGAATTAAAGCTGTGACACCCGATCTGCTCGAGAGAAAACGTAATTGTCCTCGCACACGTGCACACACCGCTCCAGCACGCAAATACACCGGGAAAGAGCTACAGCTCCATGGGACAACACGCAGGCTGTCAGTACACACRCTGGCCTGCCATTCGGAAGGCAACTCAACAGCACAGGGGGAAAAAATACACAAATATTCATTTTCCAATATTTTAAAAAAAATAGGAAGACCCTTTTAAATTACATCGTGTTGTCAAACTCTGATTTTGAGTAACAAAGCAAAAGGTGAAGGCAAATTTTCCAAAGTATTGTAAAATTTATTGTATAAGTATTGCAGCTTTTAGAATGACATATAATTGCCACTATTGGTTACCGTTACACAATAAGCGTTTACAACAGATTTTTGTAAATTGGCATCAGAGTACATATTCATACTAAAACAGCAAAATATAGATAAGTACTGCATTGCATGTGCTGTCGATAGTTTACATAAGTTTAAACTCGAACAGAATTGAGGATACAGGACCGCCTAGAACAAACTCCAAAGCCAAAGCAATGCAACTGGAAGTTTAAGAAAATATTAATACAATGAAATGTGGCTATAAGGCAGACAAATTAGGACCTTAATGTTGTCCTTCATGAGCTTCTATAGTACAGCGAAAAATTGAAGCGTAGTTTCTGGAAAACTTTCTCTTTTTGTAGCTTTGTGTTATACATAGAAAATCTCTGAGCTATACAGAGACAGAAGTGATTAAAAATTCATTGTGTTCTTGCCTAGCACTGTTAATGCTACACATCTGGATTCAGTCTTTTTTCAACCCTTAGTAAAAATTTTGGGCTTTTTAAATTTTTGAATAGAACAGTTAGTGCAATTTTATAGTTTTATACACATACAAAAGGGTGATTCTTGAGAAAGCAACTGGTTTTCCTTATACTCCCACTTAAGATAGAATGAATTTTGCAACACTTAGGCAAACAATGCACTGGATTAGTAAAGCTGAATTTCCAAACCACTGAAATCAAGAGTCGCAAAGGGAACTTAAGTTTTGCCAGTGTCAGAACCAAATAAAACCCTTTTTTCCTTGCCATCCTCACTGAAAAAGCCCCGTTCACATTCCAGGTCGTTCAGTTTCGGTGGCACTTTCCGAATGTTGCTTGCCATACCAYAAGAGAAGAAAAAAACCTGTAGAATTAACCACCCCTTTTAAAGCTAACATGACTTAAAACTTGGAGCAAAAAGGCAGGCTAGGACAAGAGGTTGCTAAGCGTTAGCAATGTCTTGTTTCTTCTGCTTTTGATTATAAATAAGTCATTCCTTAAGGGCCTGAACCCCTCTGGGCCTGCACGCCGTGGGACCCGAGTCCCACTGCTAGGACCGTTCGCTTGTCACCCGCACGRAGGCCAAGGGAAACCCAGCCGACCCACCAGCAATCGTGTGCAAAGCAATTTCTCTGCCTTGGTGGCAAGACGGGAGATGGGTATTGGGAAGAAATGGACCCCGAGGCGAAATAAAGGTAATATTAAATAGTAATAATAATAATAATAACAATAATAATAATWATTATATATATAAAAAAGAATAACCGTTATTTCTAGACACCCATTCAGGACTTGAGAAGTCTATGGAAGTTTTCCGGACTGCAAAGCGGAGGGATTAGAAAGGCAGACAGAGGTGGGTGACAAGGGGGCTCTGTGGAGGTGGCCGTGGCCAGGTCCCCCTCGCTGCGGAGCCCCCCATGTGCCCCCGGCAGCCCTGCCCGCTACGGAGGAGCTACGGGAAACTGGAGCCGGGAACTCAACAAACTCAGGGRCCTGCAGGAGCTGGCGGGGATGGCGCTGGTGAAATGAAGCTCACACGGGGAGGTGATGGGGAAGCAAGAGCATCAGTTGAAATCCTGAGGACTTCAAGGAATTAGTTGTAATTGCACTACTTTTTTTCCCCCAAGGCTGGCTCCCAGGGCCCCCAGGGAGCCAGTGCCTTTCCAAACCACCCTTCCGATTTCTCCAGGGGCTTTGCCCCACGCGACAAGACACTGGAGCCACTTAACAACCTCCGGTCCAGGCGACACCTCCGTATCGACCGTCCCACTCCGGGCAGGTGATGCCAACGCCACCCAAAACCTGCTGAGGTAAATTTTTTTTTTTTTTTTTTTTTTTTGTAGCAAACAAACATTATTAAATCACAGCACAGCCCCCCACACACATACCCTCCCCGACGACCTCCCCCCCAGTAAAACCCGGCGACACTATTCACGCGTTTTGGCTCAAGAGGGCAGCAGATATTATATTTCAGTCTGTCTTTTGGTTGGTATCTCATTTACAACATCCACCACAGTTTCCTACCTAGGCGAGCAGGCGATGTGCATAAACGTATATATTCAAGTGGCCTCGCGAACAGTCCGAGGGAGGAAGCRGCGGAGCGGGAGCACCTGGCACGGCGAGGGACACGAGGTCCTAAGGACGCTGGTTGCTCGGGACGCTAAGGATGGTCCCCTGTGCCCCTCTTGGAAAAGGGAGGGATACTGCTGCTTTAATAAGGCACTAAATAGACATGTTACATAAAGGAAAGATACATTTCTTTTGCTTGAAAACAAAAAAAAAAAAAAAAAAAAAAAAAAAGACTCATATAAATTCCTCAGTTTTGTACCTTTCACAACAAAAGAGATTTATTCCTTTGAGTTGTCCTTTTTTGTGGCTTTTTTTTTTTTTTTAATGGTCATCAAAAATTTAGGTTACGCAACTGTAAAGCTATGAAGATTTCAGGAGCGTGGAAAAGCGGTTTGGAGATTGAGAAGGTACAGGACTATTTCTAGGCAATTTAAAATAAAAGAAAAAGAAACAACGATCAAACTTCAAGTTCAGCTATTCATCATCTTTAAATTACATATAAATATTGTTCAAATGGTCAGAACTTCGAAACTGTTCTCATGTTTGTTATCTTCAAGTAATAGAAAAGTTGCTTAAAAACAATATTTATTGCCTTTATATCTTTCATTTATGTCACTCTACTAGATAGCATCCTGCAGGAAAGGGAATGACAGCTCCTTGGAAAAGCTGCTCTCCCCTGCCCGGCCCTTGCCGGCCCTCGCAGGGACCCCGGCCCCGCGRGCGGGTAGCGCCCGCGGCGGCCGAGAACAGTTTTTCCCTTTATTTTTCTCTCTCTCTTTCTCTCAAAATTTCTCACTCGCCCACTATATCACATACAAATTCACCGCCAAGGGCAAAACACCTATCGGMCACTGACGCAATATAAAAATGTAAACAATAGCAGAGTTAAGACCAAAATGCTTCCGAAACGAAGATAAATTAAAGACGCACAAAATGCGGAGGGCGGGAGGGGGCATCGCTCGGTGCAGGACCGGGGGCTCCAAACCAGGAATTCTTTGTAAGAAGTAAAGGGGTTTTTGCTTTCAAAGCACCAAGTGTATTTCTGTAGCCTTCAATTAACAGAGCACAGGAGCAGATTCATTTCCACCTACTGTATTTTCTGCCTCCTTAGCTAGGACAATAAAGTGAAAAATAACAAGGACCAGAAGCAGCCCACGAGATCTGCAGGTATTTTATGAGACGGGACTGCGCTTTTTTATTCCAAGCAAAAGTTTGGGACTTGGAAATAAAATGAAAGCGGCTCTCATGAGCAACCCACTTTGCAGCTTGCCCTTGCAATGAGATGTTTAAAGCGCGTTGAAAGGCAGGCCGTGGGTACGGCGCCATTTACTCGCCTCAACCTCCTTCACCACCTCTTCATCTCCAAATCGGGCCCTTCTGCTTAACACAGAAAGAAAGAAACCAAAAACCACTTTGTTCCTTCAGATACAGAAGTTTATTCTCATCCCCACCACCCCCCTCCAAAAACTTAGAGGTTGTCAAAAAAAAAAAAAAAATCAAGTAATTTTTGCTCGCTTCTGTCACGGCTGACTCACAGAAGCAGTGATTTTTATTTTAAGTTTTTTTTTTTGTATCTTTTCCTCCAGCAATCCTGACTGGGGACATACAGACGCGCACACAGACTCCTCTTTCTCGGCAGGGAATGTCGGAAGCGGCGAGGGCCGGGCGGGCCGGGGGCTCTGCGGGCGCCGCCGCCTCGCTGCTCCCTGGCTCTCCTCCTCGCCAGCACTTCCCTCCCCGCTCCCACCTGCTTTGCTCTTCACTTCCACATAGAACCCTTAACAGTTGCATGGTAGACATGATAGAGGCTTTGACCAACACAAGCACTGACATATTTATATTAAAAAATAGTGCAAAATTTCAACATTTATATAAATAACTCTAAACCCCTGCTTTTGTTTTTTTTTCTTTTTTTGTTTTTTTTTTGTTTTTTTTTTTTTTACAATGTAATACACACTTTTTGAGTTGGCACTCAAAAATTTGCCATTTTTCTTCTAGTTCAGAAAACAACTTTTTTTTTTTTGAATAGGCCTCTTCTAATACAAAAATACTCCTGCTCCTTACACATACACTTTCTCTTATTTTTAATATATATTTATATATTTATATTGCAGATCTTTAAACAAAAACGTTTTTTTGTGCAAATATTTTGTCTTTAAAGTTAAGTGAAATAATCAAACAACAACAACAACAAAAAAAAGGCATTCACACACAGCTCAACTAGAAACAAACCAAAAATAAAAAATAAAAGGACTACGGTTGAATTTTTTTTTTCCTTTTTAAATGTCTAGACACAGCTCCATAAAGAAATGTTTTTGCAAGCTTTGTAGGCTTGTGCATTCAGACCAGACATAACAAGTAAATATTTATACACGGAGAGATGGGGACGGGCGTGTTTTTCTTTTTTTTTTTTCTTTGCTCGTCTTCCTCAACTCTCGCTTGCTCTTTCCTAAAGAGAAGTGCAGAGTGTTTCGCTTGCTTGCTTGCGTGATTATTCTCTCCCCGTTTTCTCACTCACACACACACACATACATACATACATATATATATATATATATTTTAAAAGGGGTGCCCTTTCTGCTTCTCCTTCTCCTTGTTCCAGGCGGTTGTGCTCTCCAGGCCGCCGAGCTGGGGCTGCTGCAGCCGGCTGCCCTCGAGGATGGGGGGCACGGCGCTGCCGTGCTGCTGGTGCTGGTAGAACGCGGAGCCCGGGTAGTGGCCGATCACCTCGCTGTACGTCGGCGGCGGCCCCTCCATGCGCCCGTTGCTCCCGTAGCAGGTGGCGCTGATGCCAGAGTTACTGCTGGGCGGACAGGGCCCCCCGTACACCGAGTTATCCATCAAGTCGCTGTCGAAGATGGTTCTGTTGGGGGGCGCCCGCACCGACTCCCTGTTGAGCTCCATCTGCTGCTCGGGGTCGCGCAGCTGCAGCGTGCACGGGCCCTGGTACGGCGGCGGCTCCTCGCCGTCCGACAGCGAGATGGTGGGCGGCAGGTCGATCTCGTGCTGCAGGTAGGGGTAGGTGGGCTGGAAGCGGCTGAAGCGCTCCCGCTGCAGGAAGGAGGGCACGGCGAGCCGCTCGCCGCCTCGCGGCGCGTACATCTGCTGCTGAGAGGGGGACAAGGAGGCAGCGTGAGAAGGGGCCGGGGCGGCGGCCCGGGGGCACGCGGCGCGCGGCCCGGCCTTGGCCCTCACCTCTGCGATCCCGCTCCCCGACACGGTGCTTTCCGAAGGCCACAGGCTTCCTTCCTGCAGGGGAGGAGAGGAGAGGAGAGGAGAGGTGAGCACAACCCCCCCGCGCAGCAGCTCGCCGTCCTGCAGCCCCGCGGCGCCGGCCGCTCTCCCGAGCACCCCACCTCACCCGCGCTGCGAGCAGCTCTCACAGTCGGGTCTCCCRCCATTTTTCCCTCCATATATATTTAATAAATCACTTGCAGAATGAATGATGAGGGTGATGGGAGCAAACTGCACTCGCTTATTTGYAGTCCTTCCGCCTCCCACTGCCTCCCACCCCGCGTGGTGCTGGTTCCTGCAGGCCACAGCAGTATCGTTCAGTTTGTGAGCCACGAGCCACCGGTGATTCACGAGACATCCAAAAACCCCACGTGAAATAACGACAACACCAAAAAATAAGAAACAACATCAAAAAAAGCAAGCACCCCCCCACACAYACTTGCATTCTGATGCTGGCATGCAAAGACACCAGGAGAAAATACAGACAGTATGAGAGCAYTTGGGAGTTTGACATTATTTTGATTTGGCTGTAAGAGATAATATAGATATCTATGTAGATATCTAGATATCTATACAGAATGTAGAGCAGAGCATGGTCAGAGGACGGTCGTGCAGTACTTATTTCCCTAAAAGTTAGGTCCTTGGCTTAAAAGAGGCTTCGTCCCGCGGCCGGGATCAGCCCTGGCGCTGCAGTCAGGACCCAGCCCCAGCTACCGTGGGTTTTAGCAACCCGCAAGCGGCTGCCCCCAAGCGTGAGAGCAGCCCCCAAGTCCTGCTGAAGGCCAGCACACAAACAAGGGCTCTTTTCATGTGCTGGGGATATTCTCAACTTGCACAGGCCACCTCTAACTTTTGCCTGGAGTATTTAAATATTGCCAATATTGACACGTATATAGCAGCACTGTTCCTGGAGGCGAGGTCGGAGGGGAGGCAGCCACTCGGCCCATCGTTGGGCACTGTGACAGTCACCACCTCACGGTTCCTTGCAGGTCAATCTCCAGCTCGGGCAGTGGCAGCAAAGATTTACCTCCAGTGGATAAACCTCCTTTTTATTCCCCCTCTCTCTTCCTTCAACGTTTTCTACCCAAAGCCCRTCCCAGGGAGCTGCTCCATGCAGCAGGGCACTGCAAACCTTCCTGCTATCAAAACACCTCCTTCCACCACAGCCGTGCCGGGCGCTGCCGCCCAACACTCCCGCGGSAGCGACGCGCTCTGTGCTGAAAGCTGCGAGCCAGACACCTCTCCTGATAAAGCCAGGAGAGATTACGCCCGCCAGACGGCTCCCCGCACCCAGCCCAGGTGTCACAGGCACATTCAGCCCCGTATCGGGCGGACGGGCACGAGGGCAAATGTTGACAAGMGCCGCAAACCCTTTGCAGGAGGTTAAGAGAAGCAGCCGAGCAGCAGAACCAGAGCTGTGGACASAGTTCAGCCCCGCACACGAGCAAGGCAGGACACAGGAGTCCCCAGGATGGACCCGAACACACGAGTCCCACGTGCTGGGTACCCAGCAGCCTCCTCCCCACAGCCCAAACTGAGCAGACGGCATGAAAATCCCAGCTAAATCCCCATCCTTCCCACCTGCACCTTGGCCCTCATCTCCCCCATCCTGCGATGAATTTCTCCCGTGGCATTGCAGGCACTATCAGATATGGAGAAGATCCAATCACATTCCTGTTTCCGACGCTCAGCTCGGCACATAAACCTCAAGGCAGCCCTGTTGCTAGTGCAAGGAAAACAGTGATTTAAATGGAAATGAGATGGCCCAGATTCTTTTCACTTCTCTGGGTTTTTTAGGGAACATCTCCTTGGAACAGCAGAGGTTAAGTGCTATGGTAATGGCAGACTTTGCAGCTAAGCTAATGAATCCACTGTTTTAGTTTTACACCGCATATCCATCCCACCGAAGCGTCTGGCAGCCTAACAATACAATGCCCGTATTTTATACAGACCTTGAGACTTGAATATGCAACTGTTTACACAGGCATCAACTGTTTAGTCTAGTCCATTTTATATGTATTTCTTGCCTGTATGGATAGTCTACATTAAAATTCCCCCCTGCAGCTAAAAAGACCCCAGAGTAAGAGCATCTGTCAGACGAAACCCCAGCCTTTAACCCCTCCGGCGCGTGCTGATCCTGCTGCTCAGGGCCCCTCTGCGGCAGGAGGCAGAGGGGACATCACATCCCTACGGGAAGCACCTCGGCATCTGCTCCATACGCTGCCCGGCCCTCCGCAGTCTGCACCCAAAATCTCCCCACGGTTGTAAGGAGAAAACCTCTCTGGCTCGGAGACAAACTCGGCTTTTTAGACGTCTCTAGAGATTCGTACAATCCTGCCRCGGGACGGGGGCCTGGGCTATGTGTGGACGCCAGAAGAGAAAACAGTAGAAATGCCACTAAAACGGGGTGCTTGGAGCACAGGAGACCCACCCCCAGTGTAGTGTCTGCAGGAGCTGGATCTKCTCATCTGTTCTTAAACGTTTCTGCTGGGAGTTTAGCGCTGGACTCTGCAACACCCAGCTGCCTAAGCGCAGCGGGTGCACAAGCCCCACTGCTCCTGCCCAGGCTCGTTACCTCCTTGCTGGACATGCACCCGTGCATTTCACCACAGGCTATGTCAGTAAAACGTAGCCCACCTGAGTAACAGCTTGTATCTCATCTTAAAAAGACAGCGGAGGGCTTAAAGAGGCCAGAAATCAGTTGCCAGAGYGGGGTAATGTCTCCAAGATGAAAAAACAAAAATGCTTTTAGCCTTTGTGTTTTGGTCACGATATTGTCACCTAACCACATGGAGCCAGACAAACCCTCGTGTGCCGGCTGGGAAGCAGCCCCTCGGCAAAGCCCTGTGCCCAGCCTGGCCTTCCTTTCACTGCATTTTGCAAAACTTCACACCTGGCAATCTCAGCTGCATCCAGAAAGCTATGCGAAAAGAAAAGCTGAGATTCTGATGTGCAATGAGCAACAATGGCTTTGAAAACCTCCAACAACTATTGCACAACTTGCTTCAAAATCTACACTTCCAAATTCTTTTTTACAGATCAACCTTTGACTTTTATACAACTGCTTGTTTCAGTAATGTCAGAGAATTTTTAGTGTAAACCAAGTAGTAAAAACTAAGCCTGAAAGCCTTTGGAAAGGCTTGTATTTTCCATTTTGTGTGACAAAGCTATTTTGGAAATGGCACTTGAACTGTTACTTCATTTTTAGGGGGAGGGAGGCGCACAGGGAAGAGGACTGTGAGGTTCCCACTGTCCCAAAGCCATACGGACAGCACCCATCTTACTGCAAAAAAAGGAGGCTGAGTGGCATTCCCTAAAGAATCTTTAAATCTGGAAAAATAAAGGTACCTATTTTGAAGTGACAGAGCTTAGATAGAGCAAAGAAACGGTTATGGGGACACACATACAATAATACGAGACTTCCTTGCTAGCAGGAACCACATGGAAAAGACCTTTGGGAAATGAATTTCTCTTTCACTTGTAATTTTTGASCTACAACAACAGAAAAGGACAACCAATGCAGAGTAAGAGCCTTGTGACCATGGAATGAACTGCTTCAATATTTTAAGAGAGGAAGAGCCTGCATGCAGCCCCAGTGCCTGTCTCTGCTCACAACAGCAAGATGAAGTTTGGGATTAAAAAAAAAAAGCCCAACAGCAGTTCAGTGCAAGTTTAATGGATTATGTAAACCACTAACTGGTCCTACCAAGTCTGCCTGCCATCCCTTAACGCTGGTTTATATTGGAGAAGTTTTCTACTAAAAGACACGCAGTGTTGAGTCTGAAAGGAGCCACCTCAAAGATCTTCATTGTGACTGAACCCAGTGCAAGGAGCTTCCTGCTTCGCACACAGGGGCTTTTCTGTCCTTCCAGGAGAGCTCTTGGGCCACAAGGAGAGGGTGGCAGGGACTTGATGACACTGTGTTTGGAGCAAGAGGGAGCAGGGAGAGGAGGAAGGATGCTAGGGAGGGGAAATGCAGCGCTGCACATTCACAGCCCTCCTCCCAGTGCGGAGGAAGGCTCTGGGGCTGCACATAGGTCTAACAGATGGGCCGTGGTAACTGCTGGCTGAAGAGCTGGTTTAATTACCCATATTCCTGAAGGCCGAGTAAGGAACAGACCTTTGCTGGTGTATTGCCTGGGCCAAAACACACGGCTGGGCATAAGACTGGCCTGGTGAGATCTTAAGATAAATAAATAAAATAAACAATGCACTAAATTTTATTTCAACTTGAAACTTCTGTGCAACTTGCATGCGATTTTCTATTCTCTTTCCATGTTAGCTTTAAGAAAAAAAAAAAGAAAACATATATAGGTATTATAAAATAGGTTTTTCATGAAGAGATGAAGGGATCCAAGTAATCAGTGGGTCCCCAYTCCTGTTTACTTTGGGCTGAAAAAACACTACACAACAGCCTCTAAACGACTTAGAGCTTATGAGTGTTGAGATGTGCTCCTGTGCCCAATTTTGCTACCACTGGAGCCAAAAGCATGTGACTATAGAAAGAGAAATAAGCTTGGGAGTGTCCAAAAGAGCTYGGGCATGACCTGACGCTTAGGTGGGCGCCCCCAAACTGGAGGGAAGTGCCTCGGGTGCTCATCCCGCTCTGAGTTCAGGACCTTGCCTTTCAGAAGTGCAGTCTGTGTGCCAGCAAATGAAGTGTTTTCACAGCTCTCCTTCCCAATGAGGTGCATCCTCTTTGGCACAGAGCACCCCATAAGGGACCTTACTCTCCTGTGTATAACTATGACAATATGACAGATTGACAAGTTTTTTTTGTTTAAGAAAACAATCCACTATTTGATCTTTTTCTTGTAACGAACACAAATATAATACAAGAGAACACAGCCCCAGATGGAACAAAGCAAACAAGTACTGATGTGTTCAGCCTGCAGTGGTARTCTGCAAATGAGAGAAGGAGCGCGAAGCAACGACCTTGAAGAAGCCATATCATTTAGAGAGCTCTCAGATCCTGCAGGGTGAATGCTAAAAAATGTATCAGTACAAGATAACCCTGCACAGGAAGGCAGTCGAGTAGACAGCAGTGAACAGTACATGTTCATCCACCAAGGAAATTCTCTTTCTTTTCTCTACAGGTTCTTGTAAGTCACTCTGACCTGCAGCACGTGCAGGAACACTCCAGCTCTGTAAGCAACAGGATCTGTCACGAGGCTGGAGATGCTCCCTCTGACTGGCACAATTAACGCATCCCTCCTGCAGGTCCTAACGAACCAGGAAGCCTGCGCTCTGCCGCGGACCACTCGAGCATCGCCTTGGAGAGACCCCTGCTCGCCTGCCTCAARCATTTCTTGACATTCTCCACCTCTGTTAACGACAGTGGAGAAAACCACACAAGGTCTTTCCCTCAGTTCTATGCTCTTGAAGTCAGGCAGTAAATTTTAACATAGCTGTTTGAGACTCTCCAACTGAAGCTGCCAAAGAGCCCATGACACTGACTATAAACCCACGGAATCTGCACCTCGGGCATCATGAGGACACAGCACAGGCAACCTCCTGCGCTTGGCCACAGCGGCCAACGTTGCCAGGGATCAGACAACAGCCGTGCAGGGATGTGCAGCAGCTGCAGAGGCCATGAAAAGCCCAAACTATCCCAGGGTGAAGACAGGGTTATGGTTGTCCACATAACACAACCTCTATCACCATAAGGAGCCAGAGGCCTTTGCCAAAAAGGCTCCGCAAAGAAAAGAAAACRAAGACAATGTTTGGAGGGTGTCTCTTCATATGGCACATGGAGCRACACATGGGCAGATGCAACGGAGATTGATGCCTCCAACTCTAATGTTTCCCAAACTTCGCATCACTTGGCATACCACACAGTAAAACACAGATAGAAGACCAGGGTGTCACTTACTGATGACAGATTCTCATCTCTCCTCCTCCCTTGGCTGTGCCGGCTGATGAAGGAGCGTGCGGAGAGTTTGTAGTGGTTCAGCAGACATGTGATCACGACCACCATCACCATCATCACCACCACGATTATGATTATCTGTACAAACTCCAACTCCGCTGCAAGAGAGACAGACAAACTTTGAGCCACCTGAGAAAGCACCACTTAATTAAGAACAAGGCGAACGAATTTGGCCAAGAAGCCAACAGCACAGCTGCATCTCTCCCCCAAGTGTAAAGACGCATGCACGTGGGCAACGCATGCTTTGAACTGACCTACTGCTAAATAAATAAATAAACTATTAATTCATTTCCTCAGTACCACAGAACAAGCTGGCTTTGGGGAGAAATCTTTAAATAACACCTACAAAGCACATTGTTTTGCTGGGCTACCACGCAGACACGAGGCTTCCCCGCTGCTGCTCTCTGCCCGGCCCCACGTTGCTCCAGGCTGGGGAGCTGCGGCTCGTGCACGATGAACGAAACAGCTTCCCAAACATGTGCTAGGCTTTTGCAGCCCCTTCCCACGGCCGCTCTCCTTCCTACAGGAATGACGGGATGAGTCAGCCGTGGGGCCCAAGCAGACGTCACCCTCTGCTGAAGGTCCAGGACTGCTAAAGGGACACGGGGAGCCCGTGGTGTCCAACGAGCAGCCAGATTTACTCCGTCTTCAGCGACTGCAGCTCCCCATCCCCTCCAGCAGCACTGACCCACCGGAGCCCAGAGCAGCTCCGCTCAGGGCTCCCTCCAGCCAGTGCTCAGGGGCAGCCTGAACAGCCCCCGAGGAGCCCTGCCCGAACCCCTCCTAACAGGCTCCAACAAGCAAACAACAGGCTACCCGTTCAGCTCCACAGCCATTTGGCAGCACGAAGCAGCTCCTAAGCATTTCAGGAAGCAGTTCCTCATACCTCGTTGAAGCTAAATCCARTGGAGTGCTGGAGACAGATGGTAAAAGGGGGGTAAATATCGCCMCGAATTCAGCATCGCGCCGCGGGACGGGGAGCAGCAAGGCCTGGCCTCCACAGCCGGGCTGCTCTAAACCTGCCCTGCTGCTCAGCAGGGACAGCTACACAAGCCAGGGCTAAAAGCCCTGCCTGCAGCAATCCCAGCCGCCGACRCCTGTATCTCACCCCTGCACACAAATAAATGCACAGGCAGGAAGGCTCATACGGGCCTAAAAAGGGCAGTATCTGCCCATATGGGAGGGCAGGGATTATGCTGAGTCGGGTGGATTTTTTTTTCTTTCTCATGGAAAGTTTTCTCCTGGCAGGTGGSATTTAAGCGCCAGGAAAAGCAAATAAATGTCAAGAAAACAGCCCAGGAGGTAAGTGCTGCCAGTTACCTTGGAGTTAGTTCTGCTAAACAGCAACTATTTCTGCCACCGGACAAGCCCATTTCCCATCATCCCGAAAGATCCCAGAACGCTGATCCAGCTCTGCCTGCCACCTTCAAAGGCAGAAGTATGCCTTGAAAGCAGGAACATTAAGCCAGCACTTAAACTCAGGCCTATGAGTAAGTCCTTCTGGGCTTGGAGTCCGTTCRCTTACGGCCTCTGCGCTGCAAAGCTGCATCTGGGCCGGGAAGAGACGGAGCAAGAGCCAAACGGCGCGAGGGGATTTCAGCTAAAGCGCCTTCTTAGAAGGGGACCCCTGGCTCTTTCATGGCAAACACAGCGTGGAGTGTGAATGCTGCTGTGAGGGAACTGTTTGGGGAGAAAAATAAAAAAAAAAAAAAGCATACATATATATATATATATATATGTGTGTGTGTGGTGCGGAGGCTTCTCTTTGAAGTAGTCATCACAAGGGAGAGGATAGGGGGAAGAAAGAAATGATTAGAAAAAAAATCACGGATTTTAAGAATGAGTCAGTTTAGCCTCGGACGCAACGCGACACGTGCTCTGGCCGCAGCACGGAGATGCTGGAGGAAGTGGATGCCAGCGATGCAGAGCTTCCTTTTTCCTAAAAGGAGGTGGTTTCTGCAGAATAAAGAACAAGGCTATGCTGTTGGAAAGGGGAGCTCCTGGCCCARGACGAGCGCTATGTTACAGACACCAGGTCCCTCTGAAGGGGCACGGGAATGGGCTGGCGCTGGRGGAGCCGCGGCCGCCGCGGGGCACTCACCTTTCTCGTCCACCCACAGTGCRTGCAGGCAAATACATCCCAAGGATTCCCTCTTTTAAAATACTTCTACCTTTTTCAAAAAAGACCTAAACTAAATTTCCTACACGCACATATAGATGTGCAATGAGCGGAGCCCAAGATGGGGGCGAAACGCTGGAATCCTGTTGGGCCCCGGGACAACATCCTGGTGTCCCGTCTATCCCGCTGCAGCCCTGAGCCCTGTGTATTCTGGCTCTGGGATTAGYTTAATTGGAGCATTAACCAAAGAGGTGTCCGGAGGTGCCGCAGCAGCAACCTGAGCACCGGGTATCGGAGCAGAGGCCTCTCCTCCTGCCCCAGCTCCGGGTGCTCCGACCGCGGCCCTGTCCCGCTGGGCGAGCTGGGGCTCTGCCGCTCGCTTCAGCTCTGAATTAGGGCACTTCAGGGTATAATCTAGACTAACGTTGCAGTGATCACATTAAATTTATAAAGAGAAGAGTAATTTTAATATCTGACCGCATTGGGTGGAGGAAGGACAATTAATTAGTAAATTAACACTCTGCTAAGGGAGTTTGCTGAGATGCATCTGAGCGATACAAACTCTCTGGCTTCCCGCGTTTCCATTCTGGCTTTTCCGTATGCAATGGCCACGGTCTCGGTGTTCCCGTGTGGGAAAGGAAACGYGCACCATAGTGCAGCACAGCACAGGGGCTGGGGTCCTGAGCTGGAAGGAGTGAGGAACCCCCGTGCCCTTTGTTTGCAGCCGCTGAAACCCAACTTGATTCTCAGCGGTGCCTCCACCTCCTGGTCCAGCTGGTCAGAGCCACCAGAAGCTCCCGCCTCTGCTCCCCAAGGAGCCAAACGGCCGCGCTCAGGAAAGGGCCCCAGGTCCTACCCTGGATCAAACGGCCACCCCAAGCCGAGCTCTAACCCCAGCACACGCTGCCCCATCCGGCCTCGGGACACGGAGAAGAACAAAACCCAACGCCCCACACACGTTTGGGGCTTTTCAACTTTYGAGACACTCACGGCCACTCGAGGCATCCAAGTTTCTGCCAACCCTCCTCCTGCTTTAACTTGTCTTCACCGGCTTCATTTGCAGAATGGGGGARAAAAATACAAAAATACAAACCCGCGCTGGAAAGCTGGATGTACTTGGTAAGATTTTTATCCAAGCAGCTCACTCAACTAATGAAGAAAGATCATTAAAAATCCCAAACTTTGAGTTAATATGTTATTATACAAGCGCAATTCAGCTGCTATGCTAATAAAAAGCCTTTGGGGAATGAAAAACAAGCCAAACTGCAAAGCACATAATTTATAATTCCACTGGTATTCTTAAAACACACACGCACAAACACACACACCAAAACAAGAAGAAAAAAAACCCACTCAACACATTYAGTGTTTGGCTTCCTAATCATTGTCACTTTTCAATTAGAAGAGACCTCATTCCGTTTCTCTCTGTAATTTTCCCCAAGGGAAGTGTTATAAATGCAGTAGGCTTTACAAGATGGGCAAATCCAGCCTCCGAATGCAAAGTAAGGTCACACTAATTTAATTGTGCATAATTTTTACTCCAGAATACGTTTCAAACTAACAGGTTCAGACATCACATTTAAGTGACACAACCTGCTTTTCCGTATTTTCTGTCTAGACGCTGCAACTTTGGGAGTCGGGAGGTGCGCGTGCCGCCGTTTTGCAACTAAGCATTTTCCCCCCAGATTCTCACAGTCCCGAAACCGGGTGTTCGTGACCGAGTGAAATCGCTTGTCACGTCCTGTTCTCCTGCTCGGTTGCCACCTCCAAGCGCGCGGGGCCTCGGGGCCGGGTGTCCCGGCTTCGCCGCTGCCCCGAGCGCGCGGCCGCCGAGCAGGGTCATGCAGGGCCCTCCCGCGGCTGCTGCGGGAGAGCGATCCCGAAAAACRGAGCGCAGCCACCGCCCTCCTTGGACATGGTCCTCCTTCCCCTGCATAGTGGGACAGCGCGGCTTGGAAGYGGCTGAAATTTAGGAGAATTGGAGCCCCCGAGCAGATGCTGCGTCTGGAGAGGCCGAGGAGACGTCCTCGGCAGCCAGCCCATGGGACCCGGGCGTTCCCGCTTGGCGCGGAGCCGGGATCCAGGATCTACAGCTCAGAGGAAGCAGCTGTGGAAAGGAGCAACTTCGAGAGCTTCTCAGGGCGTTTCAGATGTTTTAAGAATAAAACTGAGAATGTTTTAAGAATGTTTTAAGAATGTTTAAAACTGAGATGTTTTAAGAATAAATCTGCCCAAGAGCGGCACATTCAGAATTAGTATTTTTGCAGGGAGCGAGCACTTTTGGGTCAATATTCACACTAAGGATTCACCTTCTGCATATGCACAAGGTCCAGGACTGCCACAGGCGAGTGAAGGCGACCATGCATTTAAACCATATTTCCTTACTTTTAACAGCCACTACTGCAGTTCATAAAACGCTTGCTAAAAACTTCATTAAATCTCTTCCCTCCACCCAGAGCACTGCCACCGAACACGGATGCTCCAAAGCACCGACAGGCATCACAAAATCTACCTAAGCTTTGCAGAAATAGTGATGGGTACCACAGAGATGGTACCATAGCGAGGGGTACCACAGCTGGAATTTACAGGCAGGCAGGAGAGCTTTCAGACAGGGTCTTAGCCACGGTGACCTCTGCTTTCAGTCGGGTATAAGATGCATCTGCAGGTCAAAACAATTCTGATTCAATTATGATTTGTATATATGCATATAAGGATTGTCCATCATATGGGAAGGGAAAAGGGGAAGTGAAACTACCCAGCAGGTAACAGCTAGCTGAACAAGTGTTGCTGCACTAGCTACAACTCCTAAAAGGCAAAACAGGACAAAAAACCACCAGTCACCATAAATGCTCCAGCAAATTGCACTATAACTTAAGTATGTTGTGGTGAGAAAAAAGAAAAAAAAACAAATTAAAGAAAATCCTGTTGAATACTTCGCTCCCCTGTGTTCATCCAAGTACCAGCAAGTGACTCCATGGA